ATAGAACCTTCTCGAAAATCAACCATATACTGGGGCACAAAACAAACCTCAACAAATACAAAAAGATTTAAATAATTCCATGCATTCTATCAGGCCACAATGCAATAAAGCTTACATTCAACACCAGAAGAAGCCCTAAACATCACATGAACACATGGAGATTAAACAACACCCTCCTGAATGATGAATGGGTCAAAAGAGAAATTAAGAAAGAAATAAAAGAATTCCTGGAACTAAATGAAAAGGACAACACAACACAACAAAACCTCGGGGATATGCTGAAAGTGATACTTAGAGGGAAGTTTATAGCTCTAAGTGCCGACATCAAAAAATCGGAAAGAACACAAATAAATGACTTAATGTTGCAACTCAACAGTATTCCTGGAACTAGCTGGGTGTGGTGGTGCATGTCTTTAATCCCAGCACTCGGGAGGCAGCGGCAGGTGGATCTCTGTGAGTTCAAGGCCAGCCTGGTCTACATAGTTCCAGGACAGCTGGGGCTACAGGGAGACCCTGTCTCAAAAAGATTTAAAAAAAAAAAAAAAAAAAAAACTTCCTGTAACTAAATGAAAAGGACAATACAACACAACAAAACCTCCGGGACATGCTGAAAGTAGTCCTTAGAGGGAAGATTATAGGTCTAAGTGCCTATATCAAAAAATTGGGAAGAACACAAATAAATGACTTAACATTGCAACTCAACACACTGAAAACCAACAGCAAACGAAACCCAAACCCAGCAGACAAGAAGCAATAACAAAAATCAGGGCAGAAATTAATGAAATTGAAACAAAGAAAACAATACAAAGAATCAAATATTCCAAGAGCTGGCTCTTTGGAAAGATAAACAAGATTGACAGACCACTAGCGCAGTTAACCAGAAGAAAGAAAGAGCACCCCCAAATCAACAAAATCAGAGATCAAACAGGAAAAATCACAACAGACACTAGAAAGATACAGAACATTCTAAAGGAATACTTTAAAAATCTATATGCTACTAAATTTGAAAACTTAAAAGAAATTGATGGATATCCAAAGGCATGGGAACCACCAAAACTAAACCAAGATGCAACTAACAGCTTGAAGAGACCGATAACACAAAAAGAAATTGAAACAGTCAAAACCTCCCAACTAAAAAAAGCCCAGGACCAGATGGATTACAGCAGAATTCTATCAGACATTTAAAGAAGATTTACATCCAATACTACTTAATTTATTCAAAAAGATAGAAATAGAGGGAGACCTTCCAAATTCCTTCTATGAAGCCAGCATCACTCTAATACCAAAGCCAGGTAAAGATACACCCCAAAAAAGAAAACTATAGACCCATATCCTTAATGAACATAGATGCAAAAATTCTCAACAAGATACTTGCAAACCGCATACAGACACACATTAAAAACATCATCCACCATGATCAAGTCAGCTTTATCCCAGAGATGCAGGGATGATACAATATACATAAGTCAATAAACATCATAAACCATATAAATGGCTCAAAGATAAGAACCACATGGTCATCTCAATAGGTGCAGAGAAGGCCTTTGACAAAATTCAACATGCATTTATGTTCAAAGTCCTAGATGGAATTGGACTGGAGGGAGCATACCTCAACATAATTAAAGCCATATATAACAAACCCACAGCCAACATCATTCTAAATGGAGAAAAACTGAAAGCATTCCCACTGAAATCAGGAACCAGACAAGGCTGTCCACTATCTCCACTTCTCTTTAGCATAGTGCTTGAAACTCTTGCAAGAGCAGTAAGACAAGAGCAAGGAATTAAAGGAATAATAATTGGAAGAGATCAAATTATCCCTTTTTGCAGATGATATGATATCTAAGAGATGCCAAAAATTCCAACAGAAAACTCCTATAAATTATTAACAATTTCAGTAAATGGTAGGTTAAAAAATTAACCTACAAAAGTCTGTAGCCTTTCTGTACACCAATAACAAGCAA